GACTCCTGCAGTTCAGTCACATCTAGGCTTTGCTTCTAATATCTAGTTCTCTTGCTGTTTCTGCCATATCTGCAGTAACTTCCTCTACCAAAGTCTTGAACTGCTCAAAATCATCCATAAGGACTAGAATCCACTTCTTCCAAGATCCTATTCATATTTTGACCTCCTCCCATGATGTTCTCCATGGCACCTAGAATGGCGAAGACTTGCCAGAAGGTTTCCAATTTACTTTGCCAGACCCATCAGAGGAATCACTGCCTATGGCAGCGACAGACTTATGAAATGTATTTCAGAAATAGTAAGTCTTGAATGTAAAAATTACACCTTGGTCCATGGGCTGCAGAATGGATGCTGTGTCAGCAGGCATGAAAACAACACGCATCTCCTTGTACCCCTCCATCAGAGCTCTCGGGTGACCAGGTGCAGTGTCAGTGAGCAGTCATATTTTGAAAGATTAGCCGGGCTCGGTGGCTCAGCCTGTAATCCCATGCCTTTGGGAGGCTGAGGTGAGCGGATGGCCTGAGCCCGCGGGTTCGAGACCCGCCTGGGCAGCAAGACCTCATCTCTACAATAAATTAAAAAATCAGCCGAGCGTGGTAGCGCATGCCTGTAATTCCGGCTACTTGGAAGGCTGAGGCGGAAGGATCGCCGGAGCCCAGCAGGTCGAGGCTGCGGTGGCCGGGAGCGGCCACTGCACTCCAGTCTGGGTGACAGAGTGAGACTCCAACTCAAAAAAAAAAAAAAAAAAAGATTTCTTGTTTTCTGAGCAGTAGGTCCTTAACAGCGGGCTTAAACTACTCGGCAAACTGTGCAGTAAACAGACGTGCTGTCATGCAGGCTTTGCTGTTCTACTTATAGAGCCCAGGCAGGCAGGTTTAGCATAATTCCGAAGGATCCGAGGATCTGGGAGTGGTCCGTGAGTGTTGGCTTCCACTTGAAGTCACCAGCTGCATTCGCCCCTGGCAAGAGGTCAGCCTGTCCTTGGAAGCGTTGAAGCCAGTCACTGACTTCTCCTCTCTAGCTGTGCCAGTCCTAGGTGGCGTTTTCTTCTGACACTGTGGAAGGCTGCTTCTTCTAGCTGGCAGATCTGTTGTCTGGCGGAGCCACCTTCACCCACGACCTTAGCTAGATCTTCGGGATGCCTCGCCGCGGCTTCTCCGCCTGCACTGGCCGCTTCGCTTTGCACTCGTATGTTCTGGAGACGCCTCTTTCCTTCAGCCTCCTGAGCCAACCTGCGCTGCCTTCAGGCTTTTCTTCCGCAGCTTCCTCACCTCTCTCCACCACCGCAGAATCGAAGAGAGGTAGGGCCTTGCTCTGGATGAGACTTTGGCTTAAGGGGACGTTGTGGCCGGTTTGATCTTCTATCCAGACAACTCAGACTTTCTCCATGTCGGCAATAAGGTTGTTTTGCTATCTTATCATTTGTGTGCTCACTGTAGTGGCATTTTTTATTTCAAGAGCTTTCCCTTTGCATTTACAACTTGGTGAACTGCTTGGCGCAGAGGCCCAGCTTTTGGCCTATCCCGGCTTCTGACATGCCTTCCTCACTAAGCTGAATCATTTCTAGCGTGTGATTTAAAGTGAGAGATGTGGGACTCTTCCTTTCCCTTCAGCACTGAGAGGTCTTTACACGGTTATTGACTGGTCTACTTTCAATGCGGTCGTGTCTCGGGAAACAGGGGAGCCCCAGGAGAGGGAGAGAGATGGGGACTGGCCAGCAGGAAGAGCAGTCAGAACACATACCACGTTCATCCAGCGAGTCTGCAATTCATGGCACCCTAAAGATCACTGATCACAGATCACCGTAACAGATATAATAGAAGACAAAAGTCCCAGCAGGAGACACAAAGTGAGCACATGCTGTTGAAAATGTGCATTGATACACTTGCTGGACGCAGGGTGACCACGAACCTTAAATTTGCACAAAATGCAGTGTCCGCGAAGCTTGGTAAAGTCACACGCCCTAACACAAGATGTGCCCGCAGCACCTCATGGGCTCCTCCCCAAGGGTGGCAGCTGACGTCACTGGGGCACAAGATCGAAGCCAGGAAATGGCCACTGGTTCTGTGCTGTCATCTAGACCTTATTCAACCTCACCTGTTTTTGCACGCATCCATTCGTGTGTGTGTGCGTGTGTGTGTGTGTGTGTGTGTGTGTGTGTGTGTGTGTGTTTCTATGCAGTTTCTACTCTTCATATAGATTCATGTGAGCACTGCCAGTCAAGACAGGGAATGTTCCAGCACCTCCCTTTGTTTGGCCCCTCCCCCACGCCCTGTCTGTTCCCCTCTCTGCCATTCTGTTTTCAGGGGTTACACCTGCAGCCTCTCCCACCTCCTGGACAAACCCAGGGTCAGCTTTTCCCTCCTCGGGGTCAGCCAGGGGGCTCCGAGCTGGGCCACATGACCGTCTCTGGGGTCAGAATCACTTCTGAACCCCCACTGACCTCTACCAGGGAAGCAGAACATGAGGCCTCCATGCAGCCCGGCTCCCGGGGGTACTGCATCCCTACAGACCCTGCACCTGAGATGGAAGTGTGCTCACCGGGGAAGGGAAGGCCATTTGAGGAAGCTGCTCTCCTGGGCAGGGTGGGGGGTGGGGTTGTGCCAATCAGGCCTGCGTGGCAGGACCCATTTCTCCCGAGCACCTCTGAGGTGCAGGTGCAGTGCAGGGTCTGAGGGTGGATGCGCCTTGCTCTCAGACAGCCGTCACCCGGGTCTGACTCTGCCATCACCAGCTAGCTGTGTGACCTTGGGCAAATGACTCAACCCATCTGAGCTTCGGCTTCTCCTCAGTGAAGCAACATATAAGGCTTCAGTCTCACCTGTTTTTGCACGTATTCATTCGTGTGTGTGTATTTCTATGCGGCTTCTACCCTCCATATAGATTCACGTAAGCACTGCCCCCCATGTAAGCATGTAAGAGTGAAAGCCGAGTGCAAGTGCTGAACAAATGCTGCCGTGACAATGCCGGCCACATGGCCCCCGCACGGAGCCCAGAGCCCTGCCCACAGAGTTCTCACGAAGCAAGACAGCTTGACTTTGAGTAATTCCACTCAGTAGGAGCTGAAAGGATGTTTTCTTTAACTCTTTTCTAAGGTGGCCCAGGGAAGGAAAGTGACTCACCCAAAGTCACAGAGCCCCTGCCAGAGGGTGTGCGACTTCCGACATCCAGCGCCCCGGACCTTCCCTGGGTTTCCGCTCACATTCCTCGGCCAGGGCTGGCTGACCCTCTTCCCGGCTCTCCCTTGCTCAGGGGCTCCTTACACATCTGCCTGGCACTCTGTCATTTGCCCTGGTCATGCCGTTTGCCATAGCGCATTGCGCAACATGTGCTTGCTGTCCTGGACGGCAGGCTCCACGAAGGCAGGGGTGGTCGCTGGCACTTGGCGCCGTGCCTGGCAGGGGGCAACGTCCACCTTCCCGCACAGGGCAGTGAGTGACAGCGAGCACGCCTTCCAGTACTGCGGGCATGCACTGGCTGGGGTGGGGTTACATCACCTGCGGGATGGGCTCTGAGCACAAAAGTGGGGGGCACGGAGCCTGTGAGAAAATCACTAGGGCCACCTGCTCCCGGGGGAGCCCAGGCACAGCCCACCGAGGACCGGCTGCAGCCGCAGGTGGGATGGGACTCCATGTCCAGGAATGGGGAGGGAGGGTGAGGGTGCAGGACCACGCACCCTTTCTTGACTTCTAGTATCTGTCTGGTTTCAGACACTGGTGTCTGAGGTCAGTCCTGCTCACATAGAGCCCAAGATTTCTTCTTTTTCTCCTTCTCCTTTTTTAGAAATAAGCTCTCACTCTGTTGTCCAGGCCAGAGTGGGGTGGTGCAATCATAGCTCACTGTGTCCTTGAACTCCTGGACTCAGGCAATTCTCTGCCTCAGCCTCTTGAATAGCTGGGGCTACAGGGATACGCCACCATGCCTGGCTACTTCTCCTTTTTTTAGAGACAGGGTCTGTCTATGCAGCCCAGGCTGGTCTCAAACTCCTGGGCTCAAGTAATCCTCTCGCCTCAGCCTCCTAGAGTGCTGGGATTAGCGGCGTGAGCCACCGTGTCCGGCCGCTCATTTCGTCTAGCTGCATCCCCAGTTTGACATTCATGTACTTCCCTTGTTTAACACGGAGTGCCCTGTGGGCATATCCGTGTGTCTGTCTGCCTCTGTTTCTCTCTGTTACTCTCTCCCTTTCTCTCTCCTCCTTCTCTCCGTAGGTCTCACCCCTCATTCAACAATTCCGAGACTGTGCCTGAGGGAGAGGTCACTCCTCTGCTTAGCTGCTATGATCTCGATGCCTGGCCGAGCCACAGGGTGTCTGGTCCCTACAGTGGGACTCATCTCTCTGGCGTCCAGGGGCTCAGAGCCACTGCCGGCTCAATCAGCGATCACGTGCGTCTGGCAGAGAGTGGCCTTGTTTTCCTGGCATCGACATCCAGAGCTCTGATGTACTCATCCAATCAGTGAATCACAGGCCTATAGAAAGGCACTGAACTTCCCAACTCTGCTCCGCACCTGAAGCTGTGTGACTCTGGGCATGCCTCCTCTCTGTGCCTCAGTCTCCACCCCCGTAGAGTGGAGATAATGGCGTCTCTGGATTGTGCTGCGGATTAAATGTCATCTCCCATTTAATTCTCCCAGGACCTAGCACGTCGTCGGCATTCGCAAAACTGGCGTTCATTCCTTTAAGAATGTTGTTCTCTTTGAAACATCCCTTACCTCTGTCTCCATCGGAGATGTACCCTGGGAACAGGCACTCATCTTTCTGCTGAAGTCCTGCCAGCTCGGCTTAAAGTAAGGGCTGTGTGCCTTCCCGCTTCTCCCACAGAATTGCTATCCATCTCGGGTGGCTGGTGCCTGACACCATGGCCTTGCCCCCCACTTGCGGCTGCTCCATTTTCACTGAGGTCCACTTCTCAGGGGTCTCTGGGGCTCCGCGGACAGAGAGGGCCTTCGATCCTGGTTCCCGCCCCCCACGAAAGAGAGAGGACACAAACCTCTCCACCTACCAGGTGCTGTTCCTGCCTCAGTGCTGTGTCCAAACGCAGCAGATCTTTTAAGTGAAGGTGGTAGACACACAGGTCAATGTCCACACTGAAAACAAAGGAGAAACAGAAAAGACTTTCAAGTGTCTGAAGCGAGGTGTGAGATGATGGACTGGGAGCACACTTCTACTTGGTGTGAGCCCCAGAGCTTCCTGCCTCTGGACTCCCACTCCACCGTACGCAGAGATACCAACACCTGCTCGAGGTTCAGCACATGGAACGGCATGAGCTGCCAGAAACCTACTAATGGCCAGAAGGGAGCAGTTAGTGTCAGAGGCTCAGCTGCCTGGGACATACAGAGAGACAGGGAGGTGAGAGAAGTGACGTTTCCTCTCTCTGAGGCAGGGTCATTAGAGCAGGTTAGCATAGACAGATACATTTCTTTTTTCTTTTTTTGGGTCGGAGTCTCACTCCGTTGCCCAGACTGGAGTGCAGGGGCCACTCCCGGCCACCACAGCCTCGACCCGCTGGGCTCCGGCAATCCTTCCGCCTCAGCCTTCCAAGTAGCTGGAACTACAGGCGTGCGCTACCATGCCCGGCTGATTTTTGATTTATTGTAGAGATGAGGGTTCGCCAAGTTGTCCAGGCGGGTCTCGAACCCGCGGGCTCAGGCAATCCACTCACCTCGGCCTCCCAAAAGTGCGGGATTACAGGCTGAGCCCAGCTGACAGATGCATTTCTTGCAGGCAGGTTTTAGGAAATGTTCAGATCTTTTCTATTACTTTTTTTTTTTTTTTTTACTGGAGGCTAGGCTGGAATGTGAACTCACCAGACAACCCCACTCCTCAGTCAATCAAAAGAAAATCCTGTCAGTTGTAAGACTAGGACAGCCCAACATTTCAGCTCATGGCTTAACATAACAATCGCCTCAAATCCTTCAGATTCTCTGTTGAGGTTAAAAGTCTCACCCCCCCACCTCGTAGCAAAGGCATAGAAATGTTCATCAGCCCACCCTTTTGCTCAGGAACTTGTATATTTGAAGATGGCCATCTCTCTATAGTGGTTACCTATGCTCTACCCTCATTAGCATATCAATAACCAGGCAGCTCTAGGAGCTTTTAATTGAGAGCAAAAGCATGGCTTTTCTTTTTCGAGAGAGACTCACCCAGGGCAGGTCTCTCTGCCATGAATCTTCCTTTTTCCTTCTCTTCTTGCTAATACACTGCTTTAAAACGGGGCTGGCCACTCTAAAATTCACTTTAGGATCGAGACAAAGAGCCCACGAGTTTTGCACCACAAGCCCCCCCAGCATCACCGTGAGTATTTTCCACGTCCATGCCCACACTTCATCTTTCCCAAGCTCTTCACGGAGACACTCTCATGCCCATTTCACAGGTGCAGGAACTGACTCAGGAAGAGAGGAGGGGAGAAATCAAGGGGCTGCCCCAGGGTCACAGGGGCAGGTAAGTGGCAGAGTGGAAAGGTCTTTGGCCTTTGTTCCCTCAGAGGCAAATGCATTTTTAAGCAAGGACACGCTCACTCAAACTACTAGAAATCCTCAAGTCCAAGGCCGGCCAATCCAATCCAAGAAGGCTCTTGTTTGGTCAAGCACCCCTTCCCTGGGCCGCCTTCAGGGTCAACAGCAAGCTCAAGGCTCTGAGCCTGGTCCTTCTGCAGCCCCGAGCCAGGGCCGTGCCCTGGTCCATCCCACTCCTGTACGGACCTGCCAGACTGAATTCCTCAGAGCCCGGCCGCGTGCTAAGCCCGGATCTGGGCTGGGTCGAACACAACTGGCTCGGTCACTGGCCGCTGCGGGACCTGGGACCAGTCACTCAGTCTCTGTGCGCCACACTTTATTCTCTGTGAAATGAGGGAAATAATACCATCTACCTCACAGCGCTACTGGGAGGAATTCATTCATTCACTGATTAATATTTAATTCAGCTTCAATCAACCTAAATGCCACCAATGGATGAATGAATTTTTAAAAATGCAGCACGCCGGGCTCGGTGGCTCAGCCTGTAATCCCGCGCCTTTGGGAGGCTGAGGTGAGTGGATTGCCTGAGCCCGCGGATTCAAGACCCGCCTGGGCAGCAAGACCTCATCTCTACAGTAAGTCAAAAAATCAGCCGGGCGTGGTAGCGCACGCCTGTAATTCCGGTTACCTGGAAGGCTGAGGTGGAAGGATCGCCGGAGCCCAGCAGGTCGAGGCTGGGGTGGCCGGGAGCAGCTACTGCACTCCAGTCTGGGCGACAGTGAGACTCCAACTCAAAAAAAAAAAAAAAAATGCAGCACATCTACACCACGGAATATCATCTCGCCATAAAAAAGAATGAGATTCCATCATTTGCAGCAACGTGGATGGAACTGGAGGCCATTGTGCCAAGTGAAATAAGCCAGGCACAGAAAGGCAAATACCGTGAGTTCTCACTCATGTGGGGGCCAAAACAGTGGCTCTCGTGGAGGCAGAGAGTAGACTGGGGTGGCCGGAGGCCAGAAGGGGGGAGAAGGACACAGAGGGCAAAAAGAATATGCATGCATTTATTACCACGGAACGCCACACTTAATGTGGTAAGGCAAGTACGTGGTGTATGTCTCTCTTACCCCAATTTTAAAACATGGATTGGCCACTGAACCTGCCCCAGGCTCCCTACAGCTGGGTAACAGGGCCCTGGCAGGGAGCATCGCGGACTTGGTCTCCTTGCTCCAGAGATAATTAATCCCCGCAAACTGGGCTTCTGCCCAGTCCCCAGAAGGCACTTAAGTGGTTTAGCCGGCTGCCGCAGGGCCGTTCCCGGACACGTCCATGATTCACTGAGGTCCCCCTGCGGCCAGGCTCCAGCGCTCAGGCCTGGCTCTGTGAGCCCAATGTTGGGCAACGCTGCACAACGAGGAACAAGCCGGAGGCGACTGAGTCACTGCGTGCACCTGGCTGCATCAGCCAAACCTCCCTGAGCCTCTGTCGCCCCCTCCTCCGACAGTGCTGCGACCCACTGGCCCACTCTGAGCAAACTGGGGGCCTCACGCCCCACGCCCTGCACCTCACCTCTCGCCGGCCAGCACCTCGGGGAAGGCGTCCAGGCAGAGGAAGCTGCGGCCGAGAAACCTGTCGTCGCTGGTGGCCGAGTGGATGCTGGATGAGGAGCTGCCGTCATCCTTCTCAGCCTGGCTCAGGCTCCCCAGGCTGCTGGAAGGGGAGCCCTCCGCGGGCTGGTGCGGCAGGACGGCCGGCTTCAGGTTTTCGTGCAGGGAGGGGTTGGAAGAGCCGTCGGCCAGAGGCTGGGGCGGCAGAAGGGAAGCCACGCGCTGTTAGTCCACGGCACGCCTGGCGGATTCGTTCTAGAAATTCCACAAGGGACGCCACGGCAGCGTGCAGGACGCTCTGGCTAAAGAGGACTGGTCAGGGCGTGGAAGACACGCCAGAGCTTCTGCCCCGGGATGATGGCCACGCCCACACCCCACAGACCCGAATCACAGCTCGCCTGCCCCACGAGGCCAGGACTCCTGTGGCGGGACACACACATGCTCTCCAAGCCTCCATTTCCTCCTCTGACAATGACGTTCTGCTGCTTATGAGATAATTAATCTACCCCTAAGCTGTCACCCTGGATCTGTCCCCCAGATATCCACCTGCACCCCACGCCCAACTGCCAGCTCAGAGCCCCTGGCGCAGCCACTGCCTGGCCTGCCCCACCTCTCGCTGCCATCTCAGGCCACGAGTCCTGCCTCCCTGTCCTCCGCCTGTCCCAGTGTGGGGTCATCCTCCTGTCCTGGGCCCCGGGGAGCCTCTGATAGGCTGCATGTTCCTATGAGGAACTGGAGCCCCCACACAGGACCACAGAGGTCACAGCCCAGGCCTGGCACAGTCTGAAGGCCCAGCCCAGCCAGCCTCTGCCTCCCGCTGCCCGGGAACACGCCCAAGCCACACTGAGAGGGTGCTCGATCGTCTCGTGCTTCTGGGCCGTTCCACACTCTGCCCCCCATCTGAAACATCCCTCGCTCACTGTGTGCTGGGCGGAGGCGTCCCTCCCTCCAGGCACAGACCCCAGCACCCCTGCTCATTTGCATCTGGCCTATTCCATCCAACGCTGGCCTGCGATCGCGTGTGTATTTGGATCCACCAGGCTGTGAGGGTCTCCAAGGCGGACACTCTTCTGACCACTGCGTGATCCCCAGGGCCCACCACACAGCCTGCCCAGCCACGGGGCTGATGGCGGAGAAACGCCTCTTCGTTCGCCCTCCAGGTAGCTACCCCAAGGACGTGGTTCTCAACACGCGTTCTGGGGAGCAGTTCTACGAACCACAGCCAGTTCACAGGGTTCTATGGAAAAGTTAGTTTGGGAAAGGCTGTGTTAAGCGAGCTGAAGTAATTTCATCGGTGCAGGGATTCTCAGAGCTTTCAGTATGCTCTTTCTTCAAAAGCAATTAATAATTCAAAAACTTAACATATACTGAGCGCTCAGAGGTGACACACGGTTCGAAGCCCTTGTGCACGTGACCCTGCTATCCTCTAAACAACCGGGTGAGGCAGGTGCACCCATTATCCCCAATTCAAAGATGAAGACACTGAGGCAAAGAGAAGTCAGGAAACAGCCCCACAGCAGAGGGCTGAGATGGGAGTTAGGACTGAGTTGGCCAAGAGAGCAGGCCTCACTTTCCTGCACCAGCAAGCTCTTTTTTGCACAAAGCGGCTCCCAGAGGGCCGGGGGCTCCTGGAAGCCATAGAACTACTCTCTGCAAAATTCCTGGCCACAGGCGGGAACTCCTGTCTGAAGTGTGAAGTCCTGTAGCCAGGTGTCAGCATTTGGCTCCGACTGCTACTTCCTGGCTCGTGACCTTGGACAGGTTATTGGCTTCTCTGGGCCCCAGTTTCCTCATGTGTAGAGTGGAGACGACACTGTTTACCTGACAGGCATACTGCCAGGTTGAAATGCCTGGTGCCTGACTGTGCTGGCTCCAGGTAAGTGCTTGGTAAGTGGCAGCTGCCAGCATCAGTCCAGGGGTCTGTGAGGATTAACGTTGGAAACTGGGTCCATATTGGTATTTGTATTAGTGCTAGAAGGGCAGGGTGGAAGCTGTCCTCTTGTGCTGTGTCACCTGGTGTCCCAGGGGATACAAGGAACTACAGTTCTTCCTAACCCTGATACACCACGGACATACCCTGTTCCTTACAACGCTGCCACAAAACGGATTCACCTAAGGTCTGCTCTGCTTCAAAGCCTCAAAATTACCCCTATTAAAATGACAGGCCAGAACACCCTCAAACAGGACCAAACATGGCAGTCAATCCCTCCACCTTCTCCCAGTCTCTAGTACACGGCTGAATTAACTGTATTTCTATGATGGCGCTCAGAACTCTCACCCGGAACTTCTGGTTGATGGGGTAGATGACTTTGGCCTTCAGCGCAAATGCTGCAATGTTGCTGTTAGACGACGGCTCACATTCCTGGGAAGGAGAGAGACACAACGGCATGGGCGGCCTTCTGTACAACGAAGGACACGCTGCCAAGCATTTTCAAATGGCACATTCTATGTATAACAGCAGACTTGGAAAGGGACCATGATAGGCTCATTTGGATCCAGTTAAGTGCTCCCTTGTGAGAAGGATAGATGGATAGACTGGTGGACAGAAAGATGATGGATGGATGGGTGGATGGACGGATGGACGGATGAACGGACAGATGAATGGGTGGACGGATAGGTGTACAGGCAGACAGCTGGATGAACGGACGGATGGATGGACGGACAGATGAAGGGACGGATGGATGGTGGACAGATGGACGGACAGACGCATAGATGGATAGATGGATGGATGGATGGGTGGACGGGTGGATGGACAAATGGATGGACGGGTGGACTAACAGATGGACAGATGGATGGATGGACAGAAGAATGGATGGATGGATGGATGGAAGAATGGGCAGATGGATGCATGGATGGATAGATGGGTGGATGGACGGATGGACGGACAGATAGACAGTTGGATGAATGGACAGATGGATGGACGGATGAATGGACGGACAGATGAAGGGATAGCTAAATGGACGGACAGATGGATGGATGGACAGAAGAACAGACGGATGGATGGTGGACAGATGGATGGACAGACGCATAGATGGATAGAAGGATGGACTAACAGATGGACAGATGGATGGATGGATGGGTGGACAGGTGGATGGACAAACGGACGGATGGATGGATGGACGGATGCATGGATGGATGGACTAACAGACAGACAGATGGATGATGGATAGATGGATGGATGGATGAATGGACAGATGGATGGATGGATGGATGGATGGTTGGATGGATAGACAGGTGGATGGACAAACGGATGGATGGATGGATGGACTAACAGACGGACAGATGGATGATGGACAGATGGATGGATGGATAGATGGATGGTTGGATGGATGGATGGACAGACGCATGCATGGACGGATGGACGGACGGAAGAACGGGCAGATGGATGCATGGATGGACAGATGGATGGATGGACGGATGGGCAGACGGACGGATGGACAAATAGATGAGTGTATGAAGAGATGGATAGACAGACCGAAGCTGTCAAAAGAGAATGGTACATTTTTCATTTAATTCTAATTCTTCAGCTCTGACAGAAATAAGGGGCTGATTAACTTGAGAATAATTTACAAGAGTCTCTTAAGCAATTGTGAATCATCTTTAGGTGGAAAAAGCAAACACACAAAATAACTTTAGCATCGTCAGGGGTATAAACACACATGGCAATATTACCACAAAATTTAGGATTAGACTCTTAGACAAAAAGAAGTGGTTGGCAAGTCTCTTAACTTCTGTGAGCCTCAGTTTTTCCAGAGAGTAAACAAATAGAGTATCTTCCCCCAAGGGCCACATAGATGAAGAGCCCAGCTGAGCCACTGGAACAGAGGAGATGCCAAGCACTGGACCACTATGGGTAGTGGAATACCTGCTGTCAAACCCTACTCAGGAACCACTTCCCCTGAGAAGCCTCCTTGACTATACCTGGGTGGACATACTCATAGCCTGCCCTACATCCTGACATGTTTTTCCTGTTAGGTCACCCCTACCCCCACCCTTGCACTCAGCAGAGTCAGTGCTAAATCGATGCTTTGAAAACAACCGAAGGAAGGCAAGAAGTCAGGCAAGCTTGGAGCCTGGCACTGCGGATCACGAGAAATCTGTATGGAGCAATTCTGGACAGGCCGACCGATGAAATCTGTCATCTACATTGATTCTGATGCTCTTCAACTGCATCCCGAAGAAAGGGCTCTATCACAAAGGATTGATTTCCAATTGCTAAGTTCACCTTGGAAAAAGATGTCGTACTGTAGGAAACACAGAAGAACTGGTTGCTTCCTCATAATTAGGGGTGCTGAAATAGCCAATACTCTGGCCTAGATAAGTCTCTAGGGAGAGCTTTGCCGTGATGTCCTGTGAGTAGCACAGGAGGGACGCTTCGTGCCCAGGGACCGGGTTCTTGTCATTTTGCTTTGTTATCTGATGACTTACAAAAACAGACTCAGATGACAAGAATGGGGGAAGACTACTAACATGGGCTCCCTCCCTAAGCCTCCAAGGGCCCTGACACAGAGGTTACTGTCTCTGCTTCCCAGATGGGAAAAATGAAACCCAGAGAGATGAAGCCGTGTGCCCAAGGTCACACAGCTCATAAATGCCAGAACCAAGATTTGAGCTCAGATGTGCTGACTCCAGGCCCAGTGTCTTCAGCTGACACCATGCTGGCTCTGTCAACAAGATACAAGTGAGAACACATGAAAGAGCCATGAAGTTTAGAGGAAAGAGGCAGTTCAGCAGAGACGGCCCCTGGGCTTGGTTTCACTGTGACCTGGAATCCAGGTCAGATACTGAGGCACCTGGTCACCCACATATTCTAAACTCCCTGTGTCTAACCAACCACAAATCCCTTCCTCTCCGGAACATCACTCAAATCCATGGCCCCACCTAAGCCTCCCCCATCTTCACCCCAAAGGGCTCAAGAGCTTCTTCATTGGCTCCTCCTCCGTGTACTGTGTACTGAGGGCCTCCTATGTCCAGCCATTTGATGCACATTGGCTCAATTACCTATCACACAATAGCCATTTGGGAAAGCTGGTAGTATTCGTATCACGCCTACTTTGTAGAGAGGCAAACTGAGACTCAGAGGTTGATGCCTTCCAATCCATTCCCCATGCGGGGATCGAATGATATTTTAAACCCACGGTTCCCATCAATGCTCACATTAAAACCCCTCCTGACTTCCCTCTGGCCTGAGGGTACTGAGCCCGGCCTGCTCCCAATCCCCTGCATCCCGGTCCACTCTAAGCAGGCCAGGTATGATGGCTCACACCAATAATCTCAGTGCTTTGGGAGGTCAAGGCCGGAGGACCAATTCGTTTAGCAGTTCAAGACCAGCCTGGGCAATGCAGTGTGATTCTCCCGCCCCCGCCCCCCAAAAAAATGGGGCCCAGTGGCTCAGCTGGGCTCTTCATCTATGTGGTCCTTGGGGGAAGATATTCTATTTATTTACTCTCTGAAAAAACTGAGGCTCACAGAAGTTAAGAGACTTGCCAACCACTTCTTTTTGTCTAAGAGTCTAATTCTAAATCTTGTGGTAATATTGCCATGTGTGTTTATACCCCTGACAATGCTAAAGTTATGCAGCATGGTGGCATGACCCTGCAGTCCCAGCTGCTAGGGAGGGTTGCTTGAGCCCAGGAGTTGGAGGCTGCAGTGGGTTATGATTATGCCACTGCACTACTGCCTGGGTGGCAGAGACCCTGTCTCTAAAATAAAAATAAGCCGGGCTTGGTGGCTCAGTCTGTAATCCCAGCGCTTTGGGAGGCTGAGGTGCGTGGATTGCCTGAGCCTGCGGGTTCGAGACCCGCCTGGGCAACTTGGCAAGACCTCATCTCTCCAATAAATCAAAAAATGAGCCGGGCATGGTAGCGCACGCCTGTAGTTCCAGCTACTTGGAAGGCTGAGGTGGAAGGATCGCCGGAGCCCAGCAGGTTGAGGATGTGGTGGCCGGGAGTGGCCACTGCACTCCAGTCTGGGCGACAGAGTGAGACTCCAACTCAAAAAAAAAAAAAAGAATTTCAAGTTTGCACCAGCAGAGTTCAGCAGCCAAAGGTGGGCCCTTCTGAGTGTCGCCCGTGTGACTGCACAGGTCACGCCCAGGACACATTTGCTTAAGGGAAGGAAGCCAAAGCAAAGGGCGCTGAGCATGTCTAAACTTCGTACAAACAAGAGGAAAGGGAAGGACCGAGATAGAGGGGCGGACACGCACGGGACGCACGGCCTCTGCCTTCCCGGAGCTTGTCTTCAAGAGGGGAGACCAAAACAGAAGCGGAATTAGAAGAAGAAAAGCATGTCTGTGCAGAGGCCACCGGGCACCTGTGGGAGCAGCACCTGGGGATGGGGTGGCCAGGGCACGGGCATGGGAAACACAGTCCCGGCCTGCGGAGGGCTCCCCGGTCCGTCTACCTGCAGACTCCAAACCCCGGAGGGCCGGCCCAAGGGTGGCCATGAGCCTCACCAGGAGCTGACGGACCCAGAGCACTTGACACCCCAAACCAAGGCCTGAGCAGGCCTGCGCTACCCAAACCAGGAGTCACTGTCCTTATTGAGTTCAGATGTCCCCTCCATTCTGCTCGTCTACCCAGCTAAAGCAATACAATTATGCAGAGAACTGGTTAAAGCATAATCGCAGGAAAAGTCACTTCACTCTCCGGTACAGAGGTGTTCTTTTCAGCAAATGCATAAATGTACCTAAAAAGGTTCCATCCTCTCTGCTTCCCTCCAAAGCAAAGGGACAGGCTGGAGAGACTGAAGCTGTGGAGTGGCACGCCTCCGCGCCTTCTGGAATTTTCTGTTTGCTTTTGGCTGCGACGAGCGCTTCGTGAAACAAGCGTTCTTCCAGGAAGTGGCGGAGCCACAGCGTGTCGATTTTCGGTGTGCTGGAGGACAAGGGAGTTCTGGCTCGACGCCAAAACAGTCCCGGTCACACACTTTGACGACTCAGTCTGTCAAGGACAGAGGCGTCCTGAGAGGCCAGTCACTGGAACAGGCAGAGATCTTTAACTCAACTCTTGGCAATGATTAGCTCGATCATGGGCACGTGCTGGGCATAGCTAAACAGTTAACCGATGAGACATTACCAAGCAGACATAAACGGGGTAGAAAGTCACATGAGCTCAGCCCTGGGTGACCCTGGCAAGGGTTGGGGACATCATCCCTGTCACTGTAAAAGGAGAAACCTGAAGTCCGACGGGTCATGCTCCTTGCCCGCCATCACACAGCGAGGGCGCGGCAGAGCTGGGACTGGGTTCCCAGATTCTAGATCTGAAAGAGCTGTTCTCCTCACATCTGAAGCTACCCGACGTGTGAGCAGGGTGGGTTTTTTTTTAACAGCTTTATTGAGCTGTAACTCACACACTGCACAACTCATGGGTGTAACGTATGCAATTTAACAGATATGTGCAGCCTCAGCCCATTCTGGGATATTGTTATAGCATCACAGAGAAACTCCGTCCCCTTCAGCTCTCACTCCTGTCCCACCTCCCCTTCCTCTGCTCCAGCCCTGGCAACCGCTGATCTACTTCTCAGCTATGTAAGCTTCCCGCTGTAGACGGTTCACATGAATAGAATTCCCATAACAAGGGGTCTTTCCTGACCGGTTTCTTTCATTGAGCACATTTCCAAGCTTCACCCAGGTGGTAGCATGCTCTGGTATTTCATTCCTTTCCATGGTGGAGTGACATTTCACTACATGGATATACCACATTTTGTTTTTTCCACCTGCTAATTGATAAACACTTGTGTTGTTTCCACATTTTGGCTACCGTGAATAGTATTACTTTGAACCCTCGAGCATGGGCTTTTGTGTGGCCATACATTTTCATGTCTGTGAGTAGGACCTAACGGGATGGAGCTGTGTGGGTGGCAGAGTGGTAGAGGGGAAGAGAGGGAAACTGAGAGACGGGGGGATGCCACACACTTGCAGGCTGTCACGCACTGTCACAGAGACACACGCAGAGAGGCGCACAGAGGTGCATGTGAGAGAGACAGACCAAGGAACACAGAGAGATACACTGGCACACACACCACAGAGAGATACATCAGCACGTACGCGCACGCGCGCGCACACACACACACACACGTGGAGAGACAAACACATACAGGCTGGGTGTGGTGGCTCACACCTGCAATCCTAGCACTTTGGGAGGCCAAGGCGAGAGGACTGCTTGAAGCCAGGAGTTTGAGACCAGTGTGGGCAACAAAGCAAGATCTTGTCTTTACTAAAAGTAAATTTTAAAACCTTTTTTAAAAAATTAGCTGGGCAACCAGGCTCGGTGGCTCAGCCTGTCATCCTGTGCCTTGGGAGGCTGAGGTGGGTGGATTGCCTGAGCCCGCGGGTTCGAGATCCACCTGGGCAACTTGGCGAGACCTCATCTCTACAATAAATCAAAAAATCAGCCGGGCGTGGTAGTGCACGCCTGTAGTTCCAGCTACTCGGAAGGCTGAGGCGGAAGGATCGCCAGAGCCCAGCAGGTTAAGGCTGCAACTCAAAAAAAAAGAAAAAAAAAATTTAGCTGGGCATAGGTGGTGGCACCTGCAGTCCCAGCTACTCAGGAGGCTGAGGTGGAAGAATCACTTGAGCCCAGGAGTTCAAGGCTGCAGTGAGCTCAGAGGGGGCCGCCGCTCTCCGGCCTGGGTGCCCGAGCGAGACCTGCCCCCCGCCCACCCCAAGTACACACCCAGAGACAGGGAGACAGGGCGTGCGTAGCACACCCAAGGCAGGTGCAGACTTGTCTCCCAGAAGCCCCGCCCCTGTCCCCTGGCCTGGCAGCGGCCTCGCCCCCATCTCGCTCACCTGCCCACCTGCCCACCTCCACATCAGCCCAGGGCAGGGAAGCTTCACCCACAGGTTCCTGCCAGCACAGGCAGGAAAGGCAGGGCTGACTCTTGAAACAGAGTCTCCAGGGTCCCCTGGAAGCTGAGCCCTGTGGATTTCCTTTTTTTTTTGTTGAGTTGGAGTCTCACTCTGTCGCCCAGACTGCGGCCACTGCAGCCTCAACCTGCTGGGCTCCGGCAATCCTTCTGCCTCAGCCGTCCGAGTAGCCGGAATTACAGAAGCGCGCTGCCACGCCCGACTAAGTTTTTGATTTACTGTAGAGAGGCGGTCTCGCCAAGTTGCCCAGGCGGGTCTCGAACCCACGGGCTCAGGCAATCCACTCACCTCGGCCTCCCAGAGCACAGGATGACAGGCTGAGCCACCGAGCCCTGTGGATTTCAAGTCTTTGGTGGAATTGACTTAAAATTCCCAAGCTGAGGCTGCAGAACAGGATAAGCAGGACCGAAGCCGTGGCGCAGAGGCTTGAGGTGAGGTGGGGACGCAGCCCCCCAGGACAGGGGCCACACACACCCAGGGACAGAGCTCAGCTTCGCCAGGCCGTGCGACTCAGGAGAGTGGCCCATCTTCCTGAGCCTCGGTGTCCTCGTCTGGAAAATGGGGACCTCAGTAAGGTCTGCCTCATGGAATTAAATTAAAAAGGCAAATTCCATCTTCCCCTTTTCCAGACGATGAGGTCTGCAGTACTTCCGGCGGGGGCAGCAGGTGACTGGGAATATCACATCCTCTCTATCCATGGAGCTCACCCAGGAAGTGGCATTGTATGGGCAGAAGGAGGGTTCCAGAAAGGAAGGAGCAAGGAGAATTCACCGTTTAATGTCTCTGTCGCAGACCCAGCTTCTTTACTTAAAAGAAATGAAAGGAAGTGAAAACAAACAGGCTTATACACAAAGGCTCACAGCAGCCCAAAGCATCACAGGCAGACCCTGGAAACAGCCTAGTCCCTCAGCCAAGCAGCCATCCAATGGCGAGCCACAAACACACCGTGGCACACCCACGCATGGGCTGCCACAAGGCAAGAGAAAGGGGTGAATTATTGATCCAGGCAACAAAATGGATAAATCCCAAAAGCATTCTTTGCCGAGAAGGCAAGCATAAAAAACATACACGATTCCATTTGCATATAGTTCTAGACCAGCCACACCCACCAACGGGGACGAAAAGCACCTCTGTGGGTCCCTCTGGAAACGTACATGGGGTGGGGATTGACCGGGAGGGGACACTAGAGAATGTTCTGGGGTGTTGAAAACGTTTTTGATGGGGGGGTCGGTTCCAAGGGTGTACGCGTTTGACAAAATTCACCAAATTGCAAACCTAAAATCTGTGCTTTTCATTATGCATAAGTTATACCTTGATCTATCTGACAGAGTTTCATCTGCATGACACCTGGGCTGCCAGGTGGGACACCGCCCCCGAGGTGCACCTTGGTCGACAGACACACACACCGGGCTGACCTCCAGAGTCTCCTCGTCCTTGGCGGCCTGCACGTCCCTCCTCCGCCTCCTGGATGGGGACCCGGCTTCCAAGGGCGTCGGTGCATGCGACTCCAAATTCCGGAGCAGACTTTGGGTGTCATCTTTCTAAAAACCAAAGACCAGAGTTAGGAGAGGGGGTATAGCACTAGGACATGGGATTCAATCAGCCTGGTCCCCACCGTGACTTTGGCCATCAACTCCCCAGCGTCAAGCGGCCACTTCTGCTCACGCCTGTGCTTCTGCAAGCGTCCAGTCCTCTGCGTGCTGTTCTCTGCCTCCCACCCCACCTGGGGTCTGCTACCGTCCTTCAAAACTGGTCAGGTCACCTTCCTGAGACGTCCCCTGGTGTCCCCTCAGGACACGGAGACAAGACTTGGAGCCAAGCTCCTTCCACGTTTCTTCTGGGTCCGAGGCCCCACTTGGACTGTGTGCTCCTTGGGGGTAACAGCTAAGTCTGGGAAATGGCACACGGATATTCATTTTCCTGTCATTTTCAATAATGTCACTGGATGCTTCCTAAGGTTATCTCAGGCAGCCTTAAACTATGGAGTGCCTTATATTGTGAATTACATTTGATGCCCATTGTTTGTGGATCCTGCATTTCGTAAATTCTCTTTCTCGTTAAAAGGTACTTGTCCCTCTCAAACCAGTGCTCACGGCACTTTCACAGTGACTCATGGACATGCACAGAGCAAGACGAATCGGAATCACGTGATGCACGCATGCTGAGTGGAGGCTGAACAAGGTGACCCTCTGCCTTCCTATTTCAGGTTTCATGCTGTCAACCAGGGTCCTTTCCACAGTCTACCTAGTGCCATGTTTTCTGCAATTTTTTTTCTCAGTGACTTCGCTGTTTAAAACGGCCCCCAAGCCGGGCTCGGTGGCTCAGTCTGTAATCCCACACTGGGAGGCTGAGGCGAGTGGATGGCCTGAGCCCGTGGGTTCGAGACCCGCCTGGGCAACTTGGCGAGACCTCATCTTGACCATAAATCAAAAACTAGCTGGGCGTGGTAGCGCGCCCCTGTAGTTCCAGCTACTCGGAAGGCTGAGGCGGAAGAATGGCCGGAGCCCAGCGGGTCGAGGCTGCGGTGGCTGAAAGCGGCTGCTGCACTCCAGTCTGGGTGACAGAGTGAGACTCCGACTCCAAAACAAAAAAGGTCCCCAGATACAGTGCTGACGCGCCATCTAGTGTCCCTAAGCACAGGAAGACTGCAATGTGCTTTGTGGACAAAACACGTGTGTGTTAGAGAAATTTTGTTTCGGCAGGAGTCTCAGTGTTGTTGTCTGTTGCCCAATGTTAAGAAATCAAAAAGCTGTATTAAACAGAAACACACATAAAACAAGGTTACATGTGGATTCATTAATGGAAATGTTGTGGCCAGAGGCTTGTAGGAACCTAACCCTATATTTCCCTTAGGAGCAGTCGTTCAGTATTCACTGTGACTTTGTAGAACAGAACTACTATAAATAAGGAGAAAAGACTGTATTTAAAATTCTGTTATGTCAAACACTTATCAACTCCCTCTTTGACCACTGGCTGCTCCCCAAGACACTCTCTGATCTGGAGAAATCTCACCAGTTTGTCACTGAGTGAGTCAGCAACCATACTGAGCATCTACGAGATGTCAAGCTTCATTCTAGGCACCAGGAATAGAGTAATGAACAAAATATACAAAGCCTCTGCCTTCATCGAGCTTACATTCTAGCGAGACAAGAAAGATATAAGCAAATACATGAATAAATGTGCACTATGTCAGGGATGATAAATGTTACAGAGAAAAATAATGAGGGGATGGAGAATGAAAGGAGGGGAAGGTCTCTTGCACAAGGCGGCATCTGAGAAGAAAAACTGGAAAAAGTGAGGGAGTGAGCCATAAAGATATCTTAGGGAGAAGCATTCCAGGAGGTCAAAATGGTGAGTGCAAAAGCCCTGAGGTAGGTGTATGCTAGGCATTAGAGAAGCCTGTGTATTTGAAACAGTCTGGGGTGTGTTTCGGGGTAGAGGGTAGGTCCAGACATTTGGGGGGTTGTTTGTTTAGCAACCACAGCTGCCCACTACAGGGTTCTGCAAGAAAGAGCCAGTCAGAAGAGCCTACAGAAAAGTCGCCGGGATAAAAACCCCATTCATCCCACAGAAAAAGCATCAGCCTTTTAGTTCCCTACTTAAACATGACCAGAATCTGACCAGCCAATTGAGGATAGACTCTGAAGAGTGACAGACAAACTCAAAACACACAAAAGGAAAATGCACACAGGAAACAGACACAACACAAGGAAAAGAAAACTTAAAACAATAAACAGGCCAGGCTCGGTGGCTCAGCCTGGAATCCCAGCACTCTGGGAGGCCGGGGCAAGTGGATGGCCTGAGCCCGTGGGTTTGAGACCTGCCTGGGCAACTTGGCGAGACCTCATCTCTACAGTAAATCAAAAAATGAGCCGGGCGTGGAAGCGCGTGCCTGTAGTTCCAGCTCCTTGGAAGGCCGAGGCGGAAGGATCGCTGGAGCCCAGCGGGTCGAGGCTGCGGTGGCCGGGAGCGGCCGCTGCACTCCAGTCTGGGCGACAGAGTGAGACTCCAACCAAAAACAAAACAAAACAATAAACAATTATAATACCACCAGAGAAGATATTCCATTCACAAAATAAGGAAAGGATACTATAAACACAGAACATTCTGAGAACATAAAAAGAACTCTTGAAAATTAAAAATCATGAAAAACTCAACGTATAAAATTGAAAAAAGTCTCCCAGAAAGCAGTGTAAAAGAGACAAAGAAATGGATAATTGGAGAAAAAGAATAAAAAAATTAGAGACCCAATTCAACCTATCAATGGCAGGGGTTCTTGAAAAGAGAGAATATACAAAAGGAAAAGAATCATCAAAGAAATCTGGAAAAAGAGTTTCAAGACTGAAAGGGCATTCCGAATGCCCAGGGGATAAACTCCCACCCAAACGCATCCTGGTACAGTTTCATACACTGGAGGCAAAGAAAAGATTCCTTAAGAGTCTACAGAGCAGTGGTCCCCAATCTTTGTGGCATCAAGGACCGGTCAGTGGAAGACAATTTTTCCATGGACTGGGGGGTTTCAGGATGATTCAAGCACCTAACACATAACGTGTGCTTTACTTCTATTATGACTACATTGTAACATATAATAAAGTAATTATACAGCTCACCACAAAAAAAAGAGGTGCAGACGAAAGTGGGTAAATAAAATAATGGGCAGGCCATACGCAGACTAAAATAAGTGTCGGATTCTGACTTACAGCCTGCCACCAGATGCAGCTGTACGATTGAAGTCCATCAACTCACTTGCCACTCGCTGACTGGGTTTCTGCAAGCAGTTGATTTACTATGGTCTCTGTGCAGTCCAACCTCACTGCTCAGGTCCACCTGTATTTGCAGCCGCGCCCCAGGGCTGGCATCAACCCTTCAGCTCCACCTCAGATCATCAGGCATTAGGTTCTCCCGAGGAGCAGGCAACTAGATCCCTTGCATGTGCAGTTCACTATAGGGTTCATGCTCCTATGAAAATCTAATGATGCCACTGATCTGACAGAAGGCAGAGCTCAGTTGGTAATGTAAGCAACAGGGAGCGGCTGTAAATACAAATAAAGCTTCACTCACTCACAGGCCATGAACTGGTGCTGGTCTGTAGCCCGGGGCCTGGGGACCTCTGCTATAGCTGAACAAAAGAAAAAGAGGTTTCCTATAAAGTATCAAGGATCAGAATAGAATCAGTTTTCTCGATGATGGAAGTTACAAGACAATGGAAAAACGCCTTCTAATTCTGGGGGGGGAGATGATTTCCAAGCCAGAATTATAGCCCTAACTAAGCTAATCAAATTAAGCATAAAGATAGGAGTATAAATACCTTCAGACATAGAAATTCTCAAAAGAGTTGTGCCCATCCCTTTCTCAGAAAGCTGCTGAAGGATGTGCTCCAGTCACTCAAGGAAATTAGCTAAATGATGAGCACAGGGGGTCCCTGAAACAGGATCTAATCCAGAAGTGGGGAAGTCCCAGCATGAGGGTCCTGGAGAAGTCTCAGTGGCAACAGGGAAAGCCCAGAGCAGCTGCTTCTCCAACTTTAAGAAGCTGTAAATCAGTAGGAGGGCTTGTTGAACACAGCTTCCTTGGCCCCATCCCAAAGATTCTCTTCCATTGTGTCTGGGGTGGGCCCAAGAATCTGCATTTCTATTAAGTTTCCTCATGAAGCTGATGCTGCCAGTGTGGTCCACACTTTAGAGTGCAGCCAGCTCAAATTGGAGCATGTCAGACTTTCTTGGAGAGATATTTTACTCAAGAAGATGAAATGAATCAAATATCTAACGTATTCAAGTGTCTTGAAAGGAAAGCTATAGGAAACGGTGGAGAGTTGAGTGTGAAATGATAGAATCGAAGCCAATGAAAAAACCTGTGTAACTACGAATTTTAGGGAAAACAAAATGTTGTACCGGGAATGTGTTAATAATCATAACTGATCCTTGACTTACATTGAATGATGTTGGCAGAATTGTCATCATGGAAATACTGAGTACTGACTGAACCCCAATTCCCCTAACCACGCGGTGAGGGTGGTGGCGTTAGGAGAGATGGGTAAACTTACGCACGAGGTGAGGAAAGAGAGTGAAGTTATCTTCCTGCCCATCGTGGGAAGTCACTGGCGATCAACGGACGCCAAAAAGACACAAGCAGCAGCAATGTAGGCCAGCTACTTAGAAATGGGAAGGGAACTTCCCAAATCCTGTAACCAGCTCCAAGAGTTGAACAAGGTGACTTCTGAGAAGGGGAAAATAAGCAGGGGTGTTGCTACTTTTGAACTGGTGCTTTAAATCGTGTGCACGGATAACTTCGATACGAATAAAAAAGTTGCAACGATGAAATAAATGAAAACAATAAAATATAACAAAAAGAACCAGAGGGAAGCAGTGCAAGATAAAGCTGTGACTGGGATCAGAGGAGGAGGCCGACGAGTGCCCAAGACGCACGCAGTGAGAAGTGCCTGATCTTGCTGGGAAGGTCAGGGCTTCCCTGGCTGACCTTCTCTCTGGACCCTGGAGGCTGAGCAGGACCAAGGTTGGGCGAGGCTGCTCCAGCCAGAGAAGACCGACGCATGCAAGCAAGAGGCGTCTGGGGAACAGCGAGATGCTCTCTCTGTGTGGCTGGAGGGAGGGACGGTGTGGGTGGAGGAGACCTGAGTACTAGGCTCGGTGCTCCGGGGAGGGCAAGTCAACTTACGCATCATGCTAGGGAACTGGGCATTATCCTCCTTAGGTAACCAGGAGTCCCTGGAGGCCTCACTCAGGAAAGCCATACTGTCTCAAGTGCATTCTAGGAAGGGAAGCCACAGGGAGGAGACCGGAGGAAAGAAGTGCTGTTAGAAAGAAGGTTGCAACGATCACATGAAACCATGAGACAATCCCACCAGCCATGGCCACTTTGAGCCATGCCCACCTCCACAGCCACCGCCCCGGGCTGCGTCACTGTCACCTCCACTGACCGGTGGTGCGAACCCAGAAAGCTCGGTTAGCCCCTGTGAGCCTCAGCTGCCTCAGCTACCACACGGGGTATTAATGGCTACCCCACCAGGTACAGACGATGAAAGCTCTGACTTTGGGTCCAGACAGACTGGGGTTGAAATCCAGCCCCGTTTACCCATCCTGTGACCCCGGACAAAGAGCCACCTTGCAAAGCCTCCGTGGCCTCACTGTAAGAGGGGTACGGTGACAGTCCTCCCACCTCACGGGCTTGGAGAGGCCGCTCAGAAGCAAACTCCAGTCAACACCACGCACCCAGAAACATCCCTGTGTGTTACTTCCCTTCCCTCTTCACAGGACGAGCCGGTGTCCGAGTGTCTCTTAACCACCAGCAGGATCTGAGAATCCCCGACTCACCTGCAAGCATCCTGCATTGTTTTAGTTTCAGCCTCAACGGGCCCCTGGCCGCCCACACTCCCCTGCCCCGAGAAGGAGCGCACAGGCGGGTGCTAGACTTGTCTCCTCTTCACATGGGGCAGGACTGGGGGTGGGGTAGGGGGGCAGACACGCCAGCTCATCTCCATCCTACCAGGCTTTACCCCCCCCCGCGGTCGGAGCTGCAAGGGTCACGCCCCTACCGATGGTAAGCCCGTGGCGGGCCTGCCATGTCCACCAACACCCAACTGCAGGAGGACGACTCTCTGGTGACGTGCCCAACCATCCCCTTCAGGCAGCCACCCCGACCCTCAGCCCCGCGGAACACAGTGGCATTGGGGTCAGGCACGCATCTGTCGTTTCAGCAAGTTACTTGACCTCTCCGTGCCTCGGTTTCCTCATCTGCTAAACGGGGACACGGACGGAATCAACTCAGAGTGCCACGGAGATTCAGTGAGACCATTCAGGCAGAGGGTCCAGCTCAGTGCCTGGCGTTCCTCGATGCCGGTGGTACCAGTTGTCCACCACAGAACTCGCCCTGCTGTGTTACAGCCACATGTCTACTTGGAAGACATCCTCTTCCTTCTTGAGGCCGTGGACCGCGAGCGGTCAAGGCCGGACCGGGCCTGCTCCTCAGTACCTCCCCTAGCCACAGACTGGCGGTAGAAGGTGCCCGCCAAGCTATGACTGCCA